TCAATTGTAACGTCCCGTTTTGTTATTAATGAAAGCGATGTTTTGGCTTCCAAGTTTGAGCTATTTTATTTTTATTAATAATGCTCGTTTCTAGTTTTCGAGCCCATTTATTAAGTTATTCAGTTCTAAGTTTGACTTAAAGTCGAGAATATACTCGGTTTAATTTTATTCTGTAACCGAGTCGATTCTAGTAAATAATTCCGGTCCGTTTATTTTATAAATGGACATTAGCAATTCTTTATTAGTCGGGATTAATTATTTCAAGTCGGCATATTAATCGGAGTCGAAAAAACTCAAAAAATCATCGAAGTCGAGCAACGACCGGAACCGAACATGTTCGGTTAAGTCTCGCCCTAGCTTTGCTCAAACTTTAGTCAAAGTTCAATTGATTTTCTACCACCTTGCATCAGTTGCATGGTTGATTTTTGTCCTAAGGACACTTCGAATTATGATTATGATTAGTAAGCTCCACTAAAGCTTAGTGGAAGGACATGTGTTTTTATGAGAATTAAAGATAAAAATCCACTTTCCATTATCATTATCTCCATTATGCATACATATATATATATATATATATATATATATATATATATGTAGACAATTAAATTTTGAGCCAATAAAATGGCGACACATGTCATAATCAATTTAATAATTTTTTATTTTATTTGGGAAATAAATCAAATTTTAATTCCTAAATTAAATAGTTAATTAATTGATTATTTAATATATATTGTTGGCCAATTAAAGAATGCCACATGTATATTTTTAAAGGCCAATTAAAGAATGCCACATGTCATTTTCTTGGAGAATAAAATAAATATTTATTTCTTTTAATAATTATTATAAAGATAAATAAATGGAAATTCATGGACCAATCAGATTGAAGTCTTCTTTTCCAAGACTCTCTCTCTCCTAATTCTCTCTTTAAATAATTATTAAGAGATAAATATTTGAAATTATGGACCAATCAAATTGAAGTCTTCTTTTCCAAGACTCTCTCCCCCAACACCTATAAATAGGGGCTCTCCCTAAGGTGGAAAAAATGACAATTCATATTCAAGTTTCAAGTTCAAGAGCTCTACAAAATTCTCTCAACGGAATTCAAGTGTTCCTGAAAATCCAAAGGCGTTCTTGAAGATCCGAAAGAAGATTCAAGCGTGTTCAAGTCCAAGACCGACGTTCAATCCAGAAACAAGTTGTCAAGCCTCCGAATTGCGTTATTAAAGTCAAAGTGCTTTGAAGATCCAAAGGCGTTCTTGAAGATCCGAAGGAAGATTCAAGCGCGTTCAAGTTCAAAACCGACGTTCAATCCGGAAACAAGCTGCCAATGCCTCCGAATTACGTTATTAAAGTCAAGACCGGCGTAGAGAAGATCGAAGATCAACTTTGCGACGAAGACCAAGGACTCGTGTTCTTCACGTTCTTGGGAAATCACGGCGTTCGATTCGAGATCAAGCTGTCAAGCCCTCGAAGAAACGTTATTTAAATCCATATTCAAGACCGGTGGGGATCAAACTAAAGATTCATCTCCAAAAGTCTCAAGTCCATTTGAAGATCATTCTTGAAGAAATTAATCAGAGGAATAATAGAGATTTGTAATCTACTATATTTCATTTGATCCGTTGAAATCCATTTGTACGAAGTTATCGTGTTTATTAATTCAATAATACGAAATTTTGCGTTACAAATTCCTGGCACGCCCGGTGGGACCATCTCTACCTCTCATCTCTTTTCTTCAAGATATCCAAGTGCAACGATGACTCCTCCCAAGTCAACTTCTTCAAGTTCTGCAAGCGAAAGTGTTGGGGTTGTAACAAGAAGTATGGCAAAAAATAAGAGTGTATCCCTGGAAGGAAATTCTCACCAAGTTGAAGGAAATCGGCCGCCTTCGATGAACTAAGAGGAAGATTTGAGAGACGATGCTTCATTGACACCTTTCTCAGTAGAGGAACATGTTATGATGACGAACGCATCAACCATTGAAGAACAACTTGCAACCATGGCAAAAACAATGGAGTCACTGATGAAATATGTCCAAAATCAAGACTCCACAATTTTAAAGTTGCTAGAAAGGGTCGACAAAGCTGAGACTAGCCGAGCTGGGGGCAAGCAAGGTGAAACACATGAGGAAGAAGAAACTTCTAAAGAACATGAGGTGAAACAAACTGAAAAAGAGAAGTCTTCGTCAGATATCCATGTTTCTACAAGTGGACTCATACCAACTGACCAACTCAAGGAATTCATAATGGGAACCATCAAGGACAAGTTTGATGGAGGCTCCAAGTCATCTTTAACTTATTCGAAGCCATATACCCAAAGGATTGATAGCTTGAAGATGCCTACTAGATATCAACCATTGAAATTCCAACAATTCGATGGTAAAGGTAGCCCGAAACAGCACATAGCTCACTTCATTGAGACTTGCAGCGATGCTGGAACATATGAAGATCGTCTGGTGAAGCAGTTTGTTCGATCACTGAAGTGAAATGCGTTCGAGTGGTACACCGACCTGGAAGCGAATTCTATTGATAGCTGGGAGCAACTAGAGCAAGATTTTCTCAATCGTTTCTACAGCACACGAAGGACGGTCAGCATGATTGAGCTCACCCATACAAAGCAGTCGGATGAAGAGCCTGTTATTGACTACATCAACCGATGGAGAAATCTAAGCCTCAATTGCAAGGATCGACTGTCTGAAGCTTCAGCTATTGAAATGTGCACTCAAGGGATGC